GGTGTGGGTGCGGTCGGTCGTGTGCCGCACAGAGCCTGGCTCGTCCTTCCCCGGGGAGCGGGGCTGGGAGCGATCGGGACGCGGTGTGCAGCTCTCGTCCTCAGCTTCGTTCTGCGGGACTGCTTGGTGCATAGCAGGGCTCGAGTGCGAAAGGACAGCGACATCTGGGAAAGAAGGGTTCGTGGCAGGTGGGGGGCTTCAACCTGAAGACGGAAACGTGTTGTACTTAAGGTGTATGGAGTGGACATTAAGACGAGCAGTTCTGAGGTGACCAGCCTGGGTAGCAATGGTAAGAACTGTCTAGAACGTGAATGTGACAACCGCAAAGCAACCCATAGTTTTTTGGGAGGGTTATGTATCAATTTAAGATAAATATCCCTGAAAATTTACTATACGGGCACATCCTAAGCCTTTGGAGAACTTGCTAGAATGGATTGTAGAAAGTCCCGTCTTAATGACTTTAGAAATCTTATTGGAAGAAACAAAGATCAGAAATTTTTGCATTAAGCAGTAATCCTGGTGCAATGGGAAGTTTCACGGAGCACCAGGGGAGTTTGTAAAAATCCTCCTCTTGCAGGACTGAAACTTGTTTCATTGGGATTTCTGTTAATCCTCAGGTTTTTAGGTGATAATGCCCCTTGAGAAGAGCAAGTGTTCAGTCAGGGCACTAATTCTCATGTGGGTTGTGTTTGAGGAACTGGCACAGATTGGCCTCGGTAAGAAGTGAAATTGGCTTGCCAAGGAGATGAGTTTGAAAACAGCTTGGGTGCTGTGTTATCTTACCAGACTTCTCTGGATTTTGTTCCTGCTTTTGAATAATTTAAGTACTCTCTCAGTCCTCAGAATATAACATAACTATTGAAATACTGTAATTTTCTTGAAATGTGCTTTTCTTTTTCCGTGAGAGATACTCTTCATATATTTCTCCATTCTTCAAAGCCAGGATAATTTTCAAGGGTGGATGACAGAACCAACCAGCCTTTCTGCGGGTGAGGAACAGACACAGAAAAAAGAGAGTGTTGCCGTACAGTTGATGAAGCGTGAAAAGGAAGTCGGTGTTCTTTCTAATGAACTTGGTGCAGCAAATGCAGCTACTGACCAGAAAGAGCAATCTATGTTGGAAATAAAAAAAGGCTATGCATACAGGAGTACTGGGAGACCTAAGAAGACAGATATCATTAAATCACTTGTGACGGAGCAGGATGCATCTAGAAACTGTGAACTATATCTACCTGTGTCTAGTAATTGTTCAGCAGTGGAGTCGTCTGAGGACAGGTGAGGATTTTTTTTTAAATTAATTAATTAACAGCTTTTCTATAGAAGGGGAGGGGTACTTCCAGTTTGTGACAGTGAATTTCTTGGCAAAGTTTCATATGTGTTAGCGTCTTAGTGAAATAGGTCTCAATGTCAAATCTTAAACTTTGAAGGCCACCTTCACCCTTTAAATAAATCGCTTATTTTTATAGTTTATTAGTGGTCTTCTTTCCCCATCTAAGGGAATAACTGGCGCGACATTAAGCTCTTAAGGGTAGCATGCAGAGCATGAGAAACTAAGAATTGAAGGCAGATACTCTGGTAGCTTGGCTTTAACCTTGTGAACACTTTGTTAGGTGTAGCGCTGACAATCATAGAAGGCTTTTTTTAATCCTAACACTTTTTGTTTGTTTCTTGTAAACCTCCTGCTGTAGGCTGAAGTAAAAAATTAGTTGTGTGATTCAGATTTGACAGTAGAAGTCTTTACAAGAATATTTGGTATCTGGAGGAAGAAATAAATATGAAAGTTTAAAAAAAAAAAAAAAAAAAAATAGAGAAGAAGGTGATTTCTAATTAGTCCTCTTTCTATAGGTAGCCAGTAGACTATTTTAGACAACATCCAAAATCTACAATAAGCGCTGACTTGGTGAAAAAGTCACTAAAAATAAGTACATGTTTTCAAGGATGCTTTTAAAATCTTATTTCATGCTTAAATTAGTCTAATTTAAGCACAATCTAATATGTTAATGCAAGTTTTTTAATATTAACGCACATTTAACATTAATACACCGATTCATATAAATAGGTACTAAGTGTATTTCTTATGTTGGCAAAAGTGTGGTACATAAGGATCTCTAGCCTTCTGAATTTTTAAATTAGCTGCTACTTGGCATACTAATTCTATTTGGTCTAATATGCCTTTACATGAACTATTAATAGCAATGAGTTTAATCTGAAATAAAAGAATCAAATATTCATCCCTTCATGATAATAAACGGAAGACTTTAAGCATTGGTTTTGCTTTTGTATGGTATCTTCAATACTGGGAGTTCTGGTCCTGCAAATCTATTAGTATAAAACTATTTATATTTTGCCATAGTCATTTCCCTTCTCTCCAGCTTAGTTTTGCTTGCTGTCGTCTTAACTTGTTGGGGTTTAGGTTTTTTTGGCGGTGTGGGTTTTTTTTTGTTGTTGTTTGTTTTTTAAAATGCAAAGCCCAGGAATACTCTAAGTAAAATCTGACATCCCGATTTTTTTCCTTGGTATCTTTGGTTCAGCAGAATCTGATTTACTAGTTCAACAATTCAAGTGTTTACACACAACACTACGCACTATTTTTTTTTTTCTTTTGTGCATGCATTTTTTCTTTTAATTATTCTTTTTCTATCTGTTATTTTATTTTCACTCTATTGCTGAGTGAAAGGGGAAAGGCTTTAGTTTCCGCATTCTTGTTTCCACAGATTTACTTAACAGTTGCTGTGCTAGAACAATGTTAAGATGCACTTTCAACTCTGAAATGAGAGTGCCTGTGCAGATGGATTGCACCTCTTAGCTACCTTGATTTCAGAACAACACAGTTAAATTGCAGTACTTTGTTTATGCTGGATGTTAATCTGTCAGGTTCTGAATCTATGGGTTCTATTTTGTCAGCTCCCAGAAAGAAGATGGGGTAATATCTGCAGAAGGAACATGACGCTGCTTACTCTACACCAAACGTCTTTTTTGAGTGACCTCACTAGTTTACTAAATTGAGCACTTTTTCTCTTTGTGCTTTATAACCTAAATGTATTTGAGGATGTATCCCAAAGTAATGCTTCCCCCCGCCCCGCTACCTCCCGTGGGATCCCTTGTAGAAGCAGGTTTGTTCATGCTCAGAGGGGGAGGTTGTGGCTTTCTATTTTAAATACTTAGCTTATAGATAAGCTAGGCTAGAGATCGCTGCTGTCAGGTACAGAGTCGTTTGGGGTTTTTTACTAGTATTTTCAAGGTTATTAAGTATTCTTAAAATTCTTCACAAACCTTAATGGACCTTAATCTGCTGAGACACAAGATTATGCATGGAAATTAGGGTTTATCCAGTGCCACGCTGTAACAAGGATAAGGACTTGGGATAAATATTTCTATGATTTTTCTTCTCAGCAGGTAATACTCTTTTTATGGAGTACTGTGTTTAATATTTACTGCATCTGTTGCTTCTCTTTTAATTAATAATTATGTAGTATTGTTACGAATCAGATTTCAAGCAGCCACTTGAGCACCCAGGAAACCTAGTTTGAAAGATAAAGGTTTGAAAGTTAAAGGTTTGCAACTTGAGTGAAAACTAAACTGTAGTTTCATATGACTAGATGGTAGATAACAGTTTCCTGGTATTAATCTATATTTGACTTTATGCTAGATAATTTTTTGTTCTCAATGGAAATATATGCAAATGGATTAGAAATGTTACCTTTTTTAAGTAAGCTGGTTTGGATGTGAAGAAAAAGAAATACAGAGCCATAGTTTACCAGTGTATTCTTTCAGGTTTAATGAGAGTAATCTAATTACCAGCTGGCTACATTAAACTCTTTCTTGCAGTCTTCCTAACTGCTTGTCCTCTCTTAGTAGTGTAAGATGGGGCAGGGTAATTGCCTTAATTTCTTCCTGGTCTTTTGCAAGCACACTGTGGTTTGGGTTTGGGTTTTTTTGAGTAGTAGATTAGAAGCTACTAATAGTAGTGGGCAATGAATAATAACCTTACAGGTCTCTTCTGCATATATACTTTCTTCAAAATACAAACTTTCAATGTAACCTTCTTTTAGTGGTAAGCCTGAATGATTTACTAATATGTTCAGTGGTGTATGGGTTTTTTGAAGTATTTTAGCTCTGAAACTGTGATTTTTTTTTTTTTTTAAGTTTATTTGCTAGATGTAATTATATGACAAATGCCACTCAGAATCATGTTTAAAGGAATGTGCAATTTATTTTCTGGTTTTTGAATGCTGTATGGACCTCCATTCTCAACCCTAGCTTCGAGATTTCTTATTGATAATGCTAGGCTATGCATAGAAACAATATCCTTTTAGGCCATCATTTCCTCCCTCTGTATGTAGGCTCAGATGGAGACATTTGACTCTTAAGACAGCGTACCTTGACCAAAAAGCCCATATTATTCGAGGAAGACATGTTTGTCTGGATTTCAGTGAGCCTGTAGGCTGCAGTTGGATCACACTTGGAATTTTGTTTTCTTTGAGTTTGTAACATTCAAACCAGCTGCAGATAGCTGCCTACTTTTCATCATGATATTCTGTCACGTATTCTGCTCGTTACTAGGCAGGTTGCTCAGCCCCAGTGGAGTGTAGATACAAAGCTCTGGTGAGTAATGCATTCTTAATTGCATACATAGGTTGTAGTATTCATATACTCAGCAGATATGCATTTTGGCTTGTCTCTTTTGCAAATTTATCCTGTAAAATTTACAAATACAAAGGCACTTTAGTATTCTGTAGTCTCCATACAACCAGCAGAAGAGAAATTCAGGCAGTGATTCATTACCAACGTAGGGGTCATAAATGAGGGAGGGGAACAGTTGAGAGGTTTTTTTAAACTTTTTTTTTTTGAGAACTCATGTTGGTTTTATGAACATGTGTAAGATGGAAAGCAAATCGAGTTGAAAAAATAATTGGAGAAAGACTTAAGTACTTGCCTGTAGTTGTAAACAGGAGAAAAGGTAAATGACTGTAAGATTTGTGCTGTTACATGAAGTATGTGTTGATTTTTACTGCAGTGAGGAGGACATGTATCGTGATGCAGAAGAAATAGAGAGAGAGAAAATCTTACTTTGTGAGACAAGCTCTTCAGGTACATTCGAACTTCGTGTGACGTTTCAAATACAGTATTACAATTCATTGTAGCACTAATTTGTGATGATTTGACACCCTCATTTCCATGGATTTCTGTGCACGGATGTCTCTGTGTGCAATAGAAGTTGCTTATGACTGAATACATTGTACAGTTTAATTCATGAAAAGATCAATTTTATGTAAAACTAGTTGTGCTTAGTGTATTTTTTTTTTTCCCCATGTTTCTATAGTTAACTTTACAAGAGTGTGAATCCTTTGGAAAGCAGTCATATAGCCTATGTTACAAGTGTTGTGCTTGAAAATTACTGATTTATAGTCATTATAGCAGCATCTGTTGCTGGGATCCCTTGATAACTTTAGTGCTATCTGTTTTGGAATGAAGGCTGTTGGGATTCCAAGAGAAAACTGTATTTCTTTTTTCTACCATTGTTTCTGCCTTACTCAGATCTATTATCTTTCTCCCTTATAGTCTGACTGCTGACAAAAGAAGAGAAACTTTCGTCAAGTATTTTTCTGATTGCTAAGAAAATGAAGAGTACTTTACTAATTTTTACTCTTTGCCAATTAATATTTTGCAGAAGAGAGGAGCAGAGTGTTCTCTGTTTTGTTGGACTGCATAATTATTTTTGTTCGCTTGTCATTTTCAGAGCAAGCTGGCTTTTCCCCCCCCTCGCTCAGATACTAGTAATTTTTTAGTAGCTATAGGTTGTGCTGCCAGTCTCCTTTGGCACCAATGTTAAAGTGATAGCGTATATTTAGAAAGTCAATGCTTTTTCTATGTTGTTCTGTTTCACAGTTCTCTGTATAATGTTACATATTCTATTTTGACAGAATATAAACTAAGTGTTGCACCTGAAATGGACATCATGGAGTATTGCAGAAAAGAATGGAGAGGAAGTACACCAGTAGCAAAAAGGATGAGAAAGGTATCGGTTCTTTTTGTGGAGTTTTGTTGGGCTTTTTGTTTTCATTTGTATGTTTAGTAGGTGATTTCCTATGGGAACAATCTTTACAACAGGAAATGCAATAGCAGTGTTTTCCAGTGTCTGGTCTTAGAAGTGGCTGACAACTGGGAAGGTGGTTTTGTTTGTACTTGTTCAAAACGTGTTTTTTAGTAAGGCTACTTGTTGATAGTGTAGGGTTTTGATTAATACTGTTCTTCGTTACTGTTTTCAATTGAAGTTTTAAATTTGGTTTATTACCATAAAATGGTAATTGTGTGGGCTGTTGACATGGCAGAGCAGATAACCAAACTTTTTGGCAGAAGGCAAATAACTGAAGTTGGTGAATTGCATGATTTTTAAGAGGGGGAGCTTTCATGAATAGGCTCAGTTTTTCTTCAGTTTTTCCTGAATTCTTATTTTTTTTAGGTTTTGGACTAGTTTTCTCATATTAATCTTGAGCTAGAATGGTAGAAAATAAAACATAAGGTTGATTGTTTTGTTTTTTCAACACAATTTGAAAATTTAGTGGTATGTATGAGTAAACCTAAAAAAATACTTTCCATAAATGAAAAGATCTGTGTGTCACCTTCAAGAGATTAGTAAGAGAAACACAGATGCACAGGGCATTAGCTCTTGCTAGGTTAGCTGAAGAGACATGCTGAGCTTCAGAAGTTACATTTCAACATTGCTGCTTCTGCTAAAAGTGTACATATGGGAACAGCAGGGATGGGACAAATGAGCTGAGGCATGTGTCAAGATATTTCAGTGTAAACACAAATTTTCCCTGAGGCAGAAACAAACTACATATGACACGTATTGGGTAAATAGCATAAATAGCATAAACTATTGCTGAAACTTCTTGTAAGCATGATATATCTTTAGATTGATAGTCTTGTGTATGTATGTTTGTATGTTTGGATTTTTTTTGAAACCTAAGTGAGTTAGCTACCCACATTTCAATGTTGTTTATGCGCTGTCATCAAATAAATACCACAGCCAATTATCTACTTAGATTTCTTTGGTTTCTTGTTTGTTATTCAGCAGAACTAAGGAAGTTTTTTTCCAAAGCATAATTTGTTACATACAAGCATTTTAACTTCTACAATGGGTAGTGGGCTAACCCCCCCCTTTTTTTTTTTTAAATAGCATTAGCATTTGGATGCTAATATTCCAATATCTTTTATGATACCAGTGCATGACCTTAAAATGTTTTATTAATGCTTTCATTTTATTTGGATTTTGTGTTTTTTCTAGGGGTATGAAGCAGTTGCTCAGAAGTTTGCATCTATAAGGAGAGTACGAGGTGATAACTATTGTGCTCTCAGAGCAACTCTTTTCCAGGCACTAAGCCAAGCTACCCAGTTACCAAGCTGGCTGCAGAGTGAGGATTTTGCTATGGTACGCGTCAAACTCTGATCTTCTGACAGTAGAGGAATGTTGGTTCAAACCTATTTGATAATTTTATGATCTCATTTCTCTATTTTGCTATATATATGCTCACTTTTCAATATCCCTTGATTGAGAAGTGGTAGTGTTCAGTTTCGTTGGTTGTTTACACTGATTCTTTCAACTTGGAATTGAGTCTAGGTCCCCTTAGTTTCCAGTTCATAATGTATAAATGTTACTATAGTGCTGACTGTAATGTAAGTTGTCTGTCTTCATATTGTCCCCTTGGTTTCTTCTTACTGCATGTAATATGGCAGTAAGAGGCTTCCCAAAAGACAGCTGGTAATCACAAAAAATATAGACAACTTATTCTAAGCACATTTGGAAAAAACAAACAAACAACCCAACCAGCTTTTAAAAATTACCAAATGTATTCTTGTGTGCCATATGTGGTTTCTCTAGAAAGTGGATTAACAAACTGGGTGCTGTAGGCTTTTCAGAATGTGTGTATTACCCGTGTCTTAAATGTTACTTAAAATAAGTGTAAGAGGAACTCCAACCTGACATGAAGAACAGTTCTTATGGAGCATTGATGGATAAGCCCCAATCAGCTTTTAAAAATTACCAAATGTATTCTTGTGTGCTATATGTGGTTTCTCTAGAAAGTGGATTAACAAACTGGGTGCTGTAGGCTTTTCAGAATGTGTGTATTACCCGTGTCTTAAATGTTACTTAAAATAAGTGTAAGAGGAACTCCAACCTGACATGAAGAACAGTTCTTATGGAGCATTGATGGATAAGCAAAGCCAGGTGTCTTACTAAGAGTAGAAGAAGAATATTCCAGAAATTGTCTTGTGTCAACAAAGTCCATTTGGTGATATCGGTGAACATGGAAGAAACATGTAAGAAGCTGCCTATACAAAAGTGTTCCACTTCAGGGGAGTAAGGTTCCAGTTGTCCAGGTTGCTGCTGGAAATGTAAATGATGGAACGTCTGATGCAGGCTCTGTGTGTAGGCTAGCAGTCCAGGTAGAATCACGCTGGTCTTACTATCTTTCTGTATAACTTTAGAGGCCATTTTAAAATTTCTCATTGTGGTCACTATCATTGCTAAGTAAACTTCTGCTGATATGTTTTTGTAATTACTGATAAAAATATTTCTATTAAATGTTTCCTACTGCAACAGTACATTGTAAAAAGATTTCTTTTATAAAAAAACCATTCTCCCAGCTGACAACCATCTCCGCATTATCAAACTACAGAAGGTAGTTTCCCAGTGCTCCTTTAAAGAACGTGCAAACTTTTTTAAATGGTGTACTTTGCAGTTTTTAATGATGTTCACCTATTTTTCTTCCTACTGATTTGTAGAAGAAAATGTGTCATATGGTAACTAACATTTTTTTGAAAAAGGTGTACAACTATAAAACGACCGGACTGAAATGATAAACTGTTAAAGCATCAAAGGAGAAGGCATGTAAGAGAAATGTGTGTGGTGACAGCTAGCAGTACAACTTTAACAAAGGGGTTTGGTTTGTGGGTTTTTTTTCTTTAAATTTTAAACGGTGTTTACATGCACATTTCTAGTTGTGGAAGTTACTGGCGTATAATCTTTGATTATTTACTTCTATGTGTCCAATTAGCATAGGATGCCAGGCTGGGCTAGGGGAAGGTCTGTGTATATCTGACAAATACTTGGTTGCCATTAAAGAGAACATATTACTAATTTGGAGTCCTGACAAAATGAAAACTAGCTGGTAATGGCTGGTGGCATATGTGCTGCTCTAGCCAAATATTTAATTCACTGTGAGACACAAGTTGCTCTTCCAGTTCTAGTGGTAAAATGGGTTAATAAATGAGGGTAAAAAAAACTGGGCATGCAACTGCTGGGATGTCCTTCAAGAGAAGTGTAAAAGCTCTTAACTGAGCAGGTGTAGCATGTGAGCAGTAAAAGAGGCAGTTCTGAGGCTAAAGTATAATCTGATGCATTAACTGATCCCCAGGTTGTTTTCTTCTTTATCAGAAAACCAGTCCCATAGTGTTTTAACTATGTACCCTGGAAAGAAAACACAGTTTGTGTGTTCTGAACTAAGTAGTTTGCACTCCACCAAGACTTGTGGCTTATCTGGTGGATGTCATCACATCTTTAGCCTTCTCTTCTGTTGGTTTAGGGACACTTTCAAACACAGTCACTGTCATCTGGTCCTGGAGGGTTTTTTCTAATTTAAAAAGAAAAAAAGAAAAGAAAAGCCATGAGTAACTTAGAGTGATTAGTTTTTCCAGTGCTTATGTATTGGTTAGATCTGGAAATAGTAATAGACCAGTATTCTGACTGTTACCCAGCAAGTATTGTAAAGAGCCAGTTGTGTTCAATTATGGTTATCTTAGTACGACATCTGTTCAGAAGAACATACGAGGGATTGTTTTAAGGTGCAAAATCTTTTTTTTAAAAATCAATAAAATAATAATGTGCAAGTTGGTGGCTTTTCCTTTCAAGATTTTTGACTTAAGCTGCCTTCTCTTCTCTCAACTTTCAGCTTCCTGAAAACTTGCTGAGAAAATATGACTGGATCAAGCAGTGGCAGCTAAAACAGAAACTGGGCAGGAAGATGGGAGAAATAAGTGATGAAATTAAAGAATATGTAATACTTCTAAGGAAAAAGGTTGGAAAAGTATTTGTTTATTCTTGGTCCCTTGCAAATAAGAAAAATGACAAAGACTTTTGGATGTGGTGAATTTAGCATAAGGATGCTTTCGCTAGTGAAAAAAAGTCACTTTTCTGTATGTATACTGCAAAAAAAATCAAGAAAAGAATGTCTGTTCAGATCTGTGGGAGGTTTCTGGTCTTCCACTGCTTGCATTAGCCTGATGCTGGAATTAATTTGTAAGCTTTGCAGAAAACTACCAGTTAGACACATTTCAATGAAGAAATGAATGTAACAGAATAACATTTTGCCTCTGTTTCTTGTATTTGTTTGAAGGAATGATGTATACTATGGATAAATGCTGTTGCTACCTTGAACAGGTCATGGAAAGGAAAAAAAATACAGAATAATGCTGAAGTAATTTCAAAGGAGTAGTTTTTGTTCCATGTTTATACGTTTTTATTCTAGGTTAATGTAACAGGAAAATGTTTGTGCCCTTCTGGTGTTCGTAGTATCTCACCTAGCCCCATCTTTCCCCCTCCTTGAAAGTCTGGAACCTATTTAAAAACTCTTCAGTTGTTCCTGTCTTACTGTGTATGCATATTCTCTTTTTTTGAGGCTTTTAAGAATATTTTAAAGGCTGCATTCAAGCAGTTTCTGAGGGTGGGAATGAAATACGCATTCTGAGTAGCTGAAATGTAAAGAATATGAAGGATGTAGGATTTATGATACAGGAAACAAACAGGTTATTATATTATTGCTTATTGTCCCATGACAATATTTGTTTTGCCACCTTGCAGCAATTTCCAACATCCCCTTCTTTTGCTTTGCTTAAGGACTAATTTAAGCAAAAATCAGTCTAACTCAACTTGACCTTGATAGGACTACAGCTGTGGAAATATTCTCGAGTGTTTTTATAAAGGCACAAAGTCCTTCATAAACTAAATTCTGAGTGCCTATGCTGTGCAGCTGACAATTCGCAAGTGGCTTTTTGCAGGTCTTGCACGGTGATGGCTATTGATACATATTATATGTGTGTGGTTTTTTTTTTTATAGTGGAAGAATATAAGTGAAATCAAGGATCCCGTTGAGAAACAAGAAGCTTGTGATAAATTGTTTAAAAATGAAGAGGAGGAGTATAGTCTCTATGAAGCACTGAAATTTTTGATGCTTAACACCGCCATCAAATTATACAACGATGACAAAAATGGAAGGAGGGTTCCTGTCTTCTCGTGGTTACTGTTTGCACGGGATACATCTAGCGACCCTTGTCAGTTAATGCATAATCACTTGAATCATATTGGTCACAGTGGAGGCCTTGAACAAGTAAGGAGAGATTGTTTTTACGGTGTTATTTTCCTGTTTTGGAGATTTTTGTTTCAAGTGGTTTAAGAAATCATCCAGCTTTTGTCTGGTCTTTTATTGGGAAAAATATGGTAGAACTGCATGCCTGTAGTAAGAGTCTGTAAAGGCCTTCCTTTTAAACATCAATTTTTTTTTTTTTTTGTGTGTGTGACAGCTGACACTTAGGTAGCATCATTCTTTGGAAGTATGGTATTCTATTAATAGAAACATTTGTATTAGTCTCAACTGTTAGCTTTTATCATGATGTTTTTTAAAAAGCTAATACTCAAATTATGAAGAGAAGATCACGTGTAGTACATATACTGGTTGAATTCTGATGAACTCATGACACTTACTGCCTTATATGTTGCAGAAATGATATGCATATCGCAAGCCCCAAAACAAAATGTAGTGGTTAATGAGCTGAATAATCTGAAAGATTTTAGGACATCCATTTAAAAAAAATCCCATTGAATATGTTACAAGTGTGGTACTGCAGTTAAATTCACTACTTGATTATAGACACTAGAAACATGGAAGTATTTATGTTTTGTTTGTGTTTATTAGCTTAAAAATCTGATGACTCTTGTATAGGTGTGACACGTTGCTGGTACTGTTAAATTAGCTGATTACTTGATGACTTTTTTGCCGCCTAGTTTAGTCGATAAGTAATGTTGCATATTTTTGTGCTGACTAGATTTATTTATTTTAGTGATATTCTTCGTAAATTGTTGTTTAGAACAGGATATGCTTGCCACTGTAGTAGACAAGATAAAGACTTTCCAGCTTCTTTCTCTGAATTCCTTCTGGTATCAACAGGCTTTGTAAGGGCTTTCCATCTGCTTTTTATTTGGCTAGAGAGTTCGGAGTACCCTCTAAGAGAGAAAGAATCAGTGCCTGAAACCCGTTCTTGTCTGGTTTAGTGACTTAACGGGATGAATACTGATATGGGAGAATGTCTTTCCTACCTGTTCGTGGCAGTAGGGGAGTGGGATTCTCTGTATAAAGTAGCTTTTCTTTAGGACCAATATCCTACTATGCCATTGTTGGGGCTGAAGAGCTCCATGTTAAAAGGCATGGTGTCTTAGAGGTATTTGTACAGCAAGCTAAGAATGGCTTGAATGATTGAGATGCTGAACTAGAGATGCTCGTGTATATGCATTCTCATTTACTTTTCTTCGTATTTTTTCTTTGAAAAATCACATCTGATAGGTATTAGTTTAGTATTTTTATGAGAAATATCTTGTAAAAGGTGTTTAATTTTACACTCATATTTCTGCTTTTTTCCAATGCAGGTGGAAATGTTTCTCCTTGCTTATGCTCTGCAGTACACCATCCAAGTGTATCGATTGTATAAATATAGTACTGATGAATTCATCACACTTTATCCCAATGACCCAGAGGAGGACTGGCCCGTGGTGACTCTCATAACTGAAGATGACAGACATTATAATATTCCAGTCGGAATGTGCCAAGAGACTATGCTGTAAACAAGTGATTTTTTTGCAGACAAACCTGTGCTGCTTATTGAGATTTCCAGTGCTATTTTGAAACAGGATGATGATGGAAACTGCATTATTGAATCTGCAACAACTTGAAATCCATGTTTTAGAAGTTTACACCTGAACTAAAATATGAAATAGGTATTAGCTTAAAGAGTAAAAATTTTGCAAGTACGGCTTTTGTTGCCCATGAAAAAAAAAAGGAAACTTCTGCAATGCTTTTTTTTGAAGGGCTTACTCTGAATAGGAATGCAAAAACTATCCATTTACTTCTTAAAAGAAGATACATGAGGCTCTGTAGTAAGACATGAGCTGACCTTCTGCTCCCTGAAATAGTGAGATAATGATTAATTGAAATTTCTGGAAAAGTAAGCTGGCAGTGTCCTGACTGATATTTGTAATGCCGCTTTGAAGCAATTTGTACAAATCTTGGGTCTCAGGAAGCAATATAATTCTTTTGCAGTTGGAATTTAATGCCTGCCATGGTTTATGCTATAAGAGAGAAGTTATTTAAAGTTTTCTAATGCTTTGGGGTTTTTTTCCAACATGGTATCTCTTATTTAGAAGCCAGTCATCTGTTACACTGAAAATAAAGAGCTCTTCCCCTTTCAGCCCCTTGAGAGGATCATGGCAAAGAGACTTGATAATCAGGGAGTATAAAAGTTGTTTGTAAGTAGGTCACAAATTCAAAACCTACACAGAATTCCCTCTTCAGTTATGATGGCTGGTATGGGATAACCACGTGCCCACTAACTTCCGTGTCTGTCCATGTTACTGTTCCTGTAATGTTAATCCTCGCTGGCAGCTGCTGTGGAGAACATCGGGGTTTTCATTTGTCCCGGGAGTGCAGTAGATGGAAGTAAACTTCTGGTGCAACTTCTCCACTCTTGGGAGGAGTATGTGGGAGGTTCTGTTTCTGCTTACAATTATTCATCGTGTTTTAAACTGAAGGAATACAGAATGTATCAGATGCTGGGAGTGCTGACGTACCTTGAAAAATAATTAAATAATAAAACCTTCACCTTTAGCTTAAAGTGTAAGTATGCCCTGCAGGTGATGCTCGGAACAAGAGAGTGAAAATTGATTTAAATGAAATGCCGGTCATACACGGATCACTTGGCTCCTCTGAGAAGGCCTTCTTATAAAAGGGATAAGATTATAAAAACTACTTTTATTCCAAATATTCCGGAGGAAATGACGTGCAAAACTCCCAATTCTCCTGTTTTGTTCTACTTAATTTGTTTGTTAACTTTCCTTTTATTGTGAAAGGTAATTACACAGTGAGAATGTGTATTCACGATGTTCTGAAATGTGTTTTAGACACATCTTAATGAGGTCTATCATGTACTCAGTGTTACGTTTATCATGTTGTCTTTGCCTTTTAAAACAACTAGTTTGATCTGTTACTGAAAATTCTGGGAGCTACAAGGAAATAAACCAATTCATCTGACGGTATTTTGTTTCTTGTTTCTCCCTAGCTTTATGTTTTTCAGTTTTTAATTTTGAAATCCTTGTTCAAGTTAGTTATTTCTTGAAAGCTGCAAAGCATAGTAACGTATGTAAAACAAGTAATTATCAGCTTGCTGCTTGCACTTGGACAGCAAAAAACAATTCCCTGAATTACTGTTACCCAAGTAACACTGAAGGGGAAAGAAAAATTAACGTTTGCGACTCACTGAACTCTCATAGAAAAGTTGTAGTTATGATTTAAGTAACTGAAATTATTTAAATCTTGACGTCTTCTAATTGTGATGTATTCTTGAGATTAAAACTTAACACCTCTTTGAAAAAGAGCCACTGCTCTAAATGTACGACAGAGGCCTCTGAAGCAGAGGCTTTTTAAGGGCCGAGTTTGCAGCCATTGGGTATGTAAACAATTCGCCGAACGGGCTTGTATGTTGAACTGAGAAGTGCAGGACTGAGCACAAGGGCCGTGTAGACCTGAAGTCACATACCGTTCCTGCGGAACCTGAGTAACAAACAGTAGAAAAACTGATGTTGCTTTGTATCTTCTGTCCTTATTTTGGAGAGAAGCAACGAGTCTGCTGTGGCGTGCAGTATATTGATTTAACTTATATTTTAAATACAAAATTGACAGCTGACAATTTTTCATCTAGACTTATACAATGGATAAATACTGCTTTTCTGTTGGGTCCCCTGCCCGTATTCTATTGAATAAACTGAGAGAGTCAATAAAAATTAAATGACGTGGAAGTGAGGCATGGAAAATGAAGGGGAATAGAGGTCAAATCAATTCGGCCCCCTGCCCCGATGTCCATGAGTCTTACATGTGAATAAATTTAGAATAGCTGCTGTACTTCAAGATCAACGTACTAAAGGAAGCAGATGCTTTACTCGCCACCTGGCATACGTTGTTAGGTACAGTCCAGATTTTTAACGCTGTAATATGTGAGCTCCTAGGAGTTCGCAGAGGTGAAGAAAGTTCACTGACTGTTGTAGTTAGTGTGCTTTTTGTGCAAAAAATACTTCATCCGCTTGCAGCCCATCTTTTATCCCTACTTCAACATTATTACGTCCAACTTCTGCCCTTTATGCTTTTTGGAGAAGGAGGCGCGTGTTTGTTGTGTTCTTCAGAACCATTTTAGCATACTTCCAGGTATTAAATGGAAACACCCTGCTTTCTATCATAATGCTTTCACTTGGGCTGATTGCTTTTTAAAAAGCATTTAAGTATGTATTTTTAACTGAACGCAGTTGTGGTCTACACAAAGCTTTTATTTTGCCTTTCTTCGGTCTCCTAGTAAGACAGATGTTATAAAGTTAACGGATACTTATCCTCCAGCTTCCTTTCTGCTGGTGGAAGTGTACAGCAGAAGTTCTTTGTGTGAAGGAAAACAGAAGTTCAGGTGATCTTGCTGGGCTGGGAGGAGGGGAAGAAAAATTGCATTGTACCACCTGGGACTAGTTGGCTGCGAGTAGAGGGGCGTGCTGAGCTGGAGCTGCACGGCAAGGTAGCAAAGCTTAGGCTGAGTGCGGCTGTGAGAAGCTTGTGCTGGAACCAGCCTGATGGTGTCCTGTGGGAGCTCACCCCAGAACCCGGCTGCCCCAGGGAGGTGCAGGTGTGTTTGGTGCAGGACTCTAACTTTATTCAGATAGCCGAGTCAAAGCTTGACCGAATCTTGGCCAAGTTTGTTTTTGTGTGACGGCGACAGCCCTATCATCAAAAACCAGCGAAGGAGGGTGAAGAGCAAGGTGGGAACTGGTACCTCACCGGAATGGCGGACACGGTCACATATCCCATTTTAGATGTTAAAGGAAGTGGGGCGAGGGAGCTCTTGGATTGCGTATCGAGTGCAGGGCTCGATTCGTGATCTCATGTCCCTAATATTGAAGAGTGTCGGTTGTGCAGCCCCTGCATCTTGTCTGCTGGAGATAAATTGCCATTTGTTCCCCCAGTACGCTAGCTGGCAGGACAGGACTGAGAACGTTTGAAGATGGCCAAATGTCCTTTATGAATGCTCCCTTTTTTGGTAATGGTGGAAGACGACAGGCGGAAGTTCTGGAAGCTTGCTGCTAGATGAGTAATTGTGCTATGACATCGACTAATGTGCTTCAAGCCAGGCAGATTCAAAGAATATTTCCATTTATAAATTTCTTGAGGAGGAGAACCTCAACCTCTGAGAAATGGAAAGGAAATGTTATTAATTCCACAGAGTTAAAAGTAAAATAGGGAAGGCTTAGCATGGTAGAGGCCTCTCAAGAAAGGTGGCTCTCTAGTCCCTTTTCCCCAGAGCATTCATTTTCTGCATGGGTGCTGATGAGTTGCTCTTATTTCTGTTCACAACTTCTATTCAAGTCAGCGGGATGCCAAAAAACCACCCTGAGATGTATTAAGCCATTGAAGAACTAGTCAGTACTGACTAAAAATTGTTTTATCAGGGCTGTCGGATGCTGAGGAAGGAGTAGCACGTCGAACGTGATTGCCAGCTGCCTCTTCCAGAGGATCGTTTCCCCAGTTTGCTCCTTTTTGGAATTGCGGTTTTTGGGGTTGTTTTTTTAGACACCTGCCCACCAGGTCTTTGACGTTACATATTTCCTTTGGGCTACTGCAGCAGACAGCTGCTGCAGGGACTGTCGCAGGTAGCCTCTGCACATGCTCTCCAGCATCAAGCTTTCAGTCTGACCATCAAGACCAGTCAGCCCAACAGTTTTTCATTTCTCTGATTGAAAAAAAAAAAAAAAGCCTCACTTTATACAAACCACATTATTATGTAGGCTGAATGTGGAAGGTACAATTCCTTTTTTTTTCCCCCGCCTCTTACTTTTCTAAAATCAGGTAATTCTGCAAGTGTTTGTGGCTTGCTGGGATGGGACAGAATTCCCACTGTCCTCGTTAGATCTGTTGTGCACCCACCCATCTTTTATTAAAAGGGAAAAAAGAAAAGCTGCTATAATAATCGTGAAACCGGCATCGTCCTTCTCAGACAGCCTCGTTCTGTTTCACCCACCGTTCGCGGGCAATACTCACTTTCTAGGCTACGGCTGGCGCCGGGTACGCGCTCCTGGTGCCCGGGTGGCTTTGCGGAGGGGCCCACGAGCCCCTCCTCGGGCGGAGCGGGGCCCCGGCCCCGGGGAGCGGGGCGGGTGTTTGCCGGGAGGTGTCACTGCAGGCCAGGGGAGAGCCGGGGGGACAAGCGGGGCTCACCCGCTTCCCGGGGGGGGGCACTCGGAGGCCGG